AGCCCTGGATGTACACCACACTAAGCTTTACCGTGAGCTATTGGAGTGCATCATTTCCAAGCACAGTACACAGTAGTCACAGAATTTTAGCTAAAAAAATCAACAACAAAGGAAGTGTCACAACTGTAAATAAAGAATATTTGAGTTGCCTTCAAATTGCCTCATTAATATTTCATTTTCCGCAGCAGCAGAGACAACTATAATGCACTCTGTTTGCACTAAACACGGAAGTGTTGTTTACCTACTGTCTCTGATGCTAATGCTAGGAAAAGCGCTCTGTTCTTAGAGAGGCTGTGAAGCGTCGCTTTCAGAGTGTCGCTCAGTCAAAGTCACATCACGCTGTTATATCTCACTGCCTATCAGCAAGGGCACCACAGCTTCAAAACTGGCAAGAGCGATATTATTTGAGTTTGTGTGCGCTGCTGACTCATATTGGAAATAATGGGAATGCTACAGCTGTCACATGGTTTCCTGGGAATATGAAATCATGTTATTCTGCACCCGGTGAACAGCCAGGATTGAAGTAACAACATCCACCTACTAATGCAAGCGAATGGGATCTGCTGTCTTTGCATAAGTGATATTTTTAGTGAACACTCTGCAAGCACTGGTTCCGAAACTGCATTCAGTGGTGAAATCGAGGCCCGAGTGCCAGTTACATAAGAACATTACAACGGCTCATAGACATCCCTTTTCCACCACAATGAGCATTGCCCCAGGCCTGTCATTAACCTTGACTATGTGTTTTTCCAAACGGGACCTTATGAACTCTGGTGCATGTTGATGGGTTTGTATGTTGGGTCCACTCAGAAATAAAGAATGGGTCAGATATCTACAGTCGAGAGCCCTCAGGGGTGTGTGCTGGGTTCGTGGCTATTATTACTCATCATATTCTCAAACTGGCACCGATGGAGAGCGATGTATCTGACTATTCATGATACTGCATTTTACACTTGAATGGCCAGCACTGCAATGCCTTATGGATTAAAATAGGAGCCAAACCAAAATGCCTTACAGGCAACCTCTATATGCACTGGCTTTGGCTCATTCAGCTGTTGTGAAAAATGCACTGTTCTCTGAGTAAAATAAGCATTTGGAGAAACCTGCTAAAATTGCAGGACAATGAAATAAGTGCCAAAAATTTACTCATTCATAATTGATCCACGTGGTTGTGCTTTTATGCTTTTAATTAATCTAGTATACAAAATCTACCTAATAAAAATGAGAATGCACCATATAGTTCTTGGCTTGTAGTTACTGTACTTTCACAATACTTTTTATATTATTTGTTTATTTTACTATTTAAATGTATTGCAACTACAAATGTCAGCTGTATACTGTGACGTCATGGTGAATGAGAGCATGAAATGACTGTGATGTAACAGCATCCTGCTGTAGAATCTCAACAATTATCTGCGTCTGCATTAGTATCTCTTGTATGTATGTATATATATATATATATATATATATAATTAAAGAATCCATGTCAATTGCCTATACTATTACTGTATAAGTATTACAAATAATTAAAAGTATTTCCTCAGCACTAACTAACAAGCCTTTTTTTAGCAAAAAATAAATAAATATATAAATACTTACTTACACGTACACTGCTGCTCTAATGTTGTACTAAATATAGTGTGGAAGGACTGCTTATACTATTTTCTCCTTATTGGATTAATTACTTTTTGTATTGTTCTCATTTGTAAGTCACTTTGGCCAAAAGCCTCTGCTAAATCAATAAATTAAAATAAATAAATGTGTAAAACTGCTAGGGCAGGGGGAACACGGCCAAAGTGTTGCCCCAGCACTAAAACAGCAGCTAGTAACAGACCTATACTATCCTAACAAATCTAAATATATAGTCTATATTCAAAACGTAATATAGCATTGTAAAGGATATGAAATCAGGGATTAACATTTCTTAGGGAACATTTTTTGCTGAATAAATAATGGAGAGAATGCATTTGTGTCAATCATTAATAAAGGACTTCGTTCAGAATTGGAAAAGTCTTCAATTAATTTTGTCACCTTCTCTTCGACTGTGGAACAAAAATTAAGATATTTAGCAAAAGGCACTGGCTGCTCTTTTCTCTGCAACTGAAGTAGACTGCATTAAAGCTTAAGTATTGTATGGCTTCAGAAGACTTAGTACGCAATGGTATGCAAGTCATATATGGACTACTTTTAGTGTAACTTTTTTGTCCTTTTTGGAGAATATAAATAACATATAATAAAATAAATAAATCATAATATAAATTAAATATAAACCAGTCACTTTGGATGCATGAAAAAGTGCCGCCTGAATATACTTCTTCATTTCTACAAGGACGAGCATCGATTTTCATTTCATTTTCCAAACTTTCCCAAGATAACATTTTTGTTAGTATGTCATTTCTGAAATGGTCCTATTCGGACAGGATTACTCTTCCCTGAGGAGGTCAGGTAAATTGGTGTTTTTCCCAGACTTACTTTATGATTTTAATCTCATCTGAATTGAACACATCTGTGTTTTTCTCACACAATCTCAGTATAAATAATGAAGCACATTACCAACTGTTCTATGTTCTGAACTCTGGGATCCTCTGAGAAATCTAATCCCATCCACATGTAATGTTTTGATTGTGGTGTAATATTTATTCACATCTTCTCCTCATTTATTTTGTCCTTCGACAAATAATGTCACTAAAGCTGAACTCCTGCGTACGGCATAATATGGACTGAAACCTTTTTTGCCAACTTTCAGGGTAAAATAACACTTCATGGTTCAAATTCTGCTGCCATCCTGTTTTAAAATTTGAATTAAATCAATAACGAGAGTCTGATAACAGAATGCTCAAAAACGGCTGGTAGAATCCAGACAAAGAGCATTAAAGGGATAGTTCACCCAAAAACGCAAGTCAGAAAGCAAGTCATTCAGGTTTGGGACAGGTTTTAAATAATGTTAGAATTCATTTTTTATTGACTTTTGGATGAACCCAAGTCATTCATTCATATCCAGGTGGGTCAGCATGGGAGTCAGAGCTAATTCTTGCCCTTGAGTTACTGATACAAATATTGCAGTCTCCCCTCTGACCATACTATTTTGCCTTTGGATAAAACACTCGTTTACTCCAGGGGCCCTATGACATGTCACATCACTCCTCATACCTCGTACAAGCCTTCAGGCCACAGAATGACAATAAAGGTTATAAAAAATGTAATCAATCAAAGGAGCTGAATATTCCTTCTCAATACAAAACGTTATGTAAATTACCCAATTAAGGACACACTTATATCTGACAAAAGTGTGTCATCGATAGTGTAATCAATAACGATTGATTTTCCGCAAAGAGTTAACCTTTAAAAAATAAAGAATTGGCAGTGTCATACCTCATAACAGATTCCGTGGCATCTCATATAGTGAAGACAATTGAAAATATACAGCAAACAAGATTACAAAATCAACATACACTTTTATTTAGCAAATAGAAAGGGGCCGTTTTATACAAACTGTAAACTAGGTACTGTAATAAATTTGTTGGGTATACCTTGAAGAACTGCAGCACACATATGAACCTGCACAGTGACCATGATTTTTCCAAGTAGAACATGTTCCTGGATCAGCATCCTTAGTGGTCCAGGAACAACATTCTTTTCAACCAATCCAATTTTTAGGTTAAGTTTGGGGTAAGCAATAGGAATATTCCTAGTTCAGTACAAGTTAAGCTCAGTCAACATAATGCTGATTACCACAAAAATGAATTTCCACTCATCCCTCTTCTTTCAAAAAGCCAAACTTTGGGTTACAATGGAAATGAATGGGGCCAATCTATAAATATAGCCACAATATGCATGTTAGCATGATTTTAGTGTACATCTACTAACATTTTCTATGTAAAATTATATCCAAATTTACACTGTAAACTAGGTACTGTAATAAATTTGTTGGGTATACCTTGAAGAACTGCAGCACACATATGAACCTGCACAGTGACCATGATTTTTCCAAGTAGAACATGTTCCTGGATCAGCATCCTTAGTGGTCCAGGAACAACATTCTTTTCAACCAATCCAATTTTTAGGTTAAGTTTGGGGTAAGCAATAGGAATATTCCTAGTTCAGTACAAGTTAAGCTCAGTCAACATAATGCTGATTACCACAAAAATGAATTTCCACTCATCCCTCTTCTTTCAAAAAGCCAAACTTTGGGTTACAATGGAAGTGAATGGGGCCAATCTATAAATATAGCCACAATATGCATGTTAGCATGATTTTAGTGTACTACTAACATTTTCTATGTAAAATTATATCCAAATTTACAGTTTTGTCATCACAACAATACCATAAACCCTACAATTACTCTACAAATGATTACAATTATTTTATGTGGTTGTTTGAACTTGTACTGAACCCAGAATATTCCTTCACGGCTGGGGTTGGGGCTTCAAAAACATTATCAACCAATCATTTCTGTCCGGGGTAGTTCATGTTAACGACAGGACAAGAATGTTGTTCCAGGACAAATAAAACATGTTAATCCGGGAACACATCCTACTTGATGGAATCACAGAAACTGGTACAGTGCTTTAACTGCATGACAAACCCACATGAAAACAACACATACATTTGTTTTCTCTACTCACGATTAAGGACTTAAAGATAAAAAGCACTTGTTTTCACATCTCTATTTTAACATCTTACAACAGTTGGTCTGTTTATGTTACAATGCGCTAATTCAGTGAGCATCTGAGGTTAAGGTTGTATCATCTTGGAATGAATGTCCATAAATAGTTGTACAATGCAGCTGATAAAGTTATGATCCAAGAGGGTTGTGCTGCCACTCACACAGTATCATACGCTCTTGCCATTGTCACCAGTTGTCATTTTCAACCTCCTCCGAAAGGAACAGAACAAAACAGCTCTCAACCTGACATCACATCATGTGTAAGTACATAGAACAACACCTGCAAATCAAAAGATAAACTTGCAATCTTTGGTAAAAAAACAACAACAACAAAAAAACCTTGGCTCACTGTTATTTTATTCACTTCTAATTAAAGGACCACCCGTGATTCCGTGAATACCTTAGCATTTGCAGTAAAAGAAGCATCTGGGACTTTTCAGAATGTCACGGAGGTTCATTTTAAATGCTAATCACCTCATTGGAGAGAATAAATCTGATGTTGCTTAACTGAATGCTGCTAAAAACCAACCATCTTAAATCTTAGCATATATGTTAAATATTAGCATTATTTAAAACGTGGAGGTATTTAAGACGAAGTTTCTGGAACTGATTAAACATATAGCTGAATATTTCCATAGCAGCATTGTGAAGAACGGGTCTTTGACAGGCAGATGAGTAAACAGAGTCTTTTGGAAAATTCCCTGGAGCAGATGTCCAATTTTAGACAAATATGTGTACTGAAGTCTCTGTTCATCTAGTCTCTCTCTCCAAGTTGTCCAAGTCGCACATGCATATTTACTGTTTACTGCTGATCATGATGTCCTCAGCATTTTGGCACAGGGTATGACTGAAGGCGAAATATGAGAGACTTTCTCTTTAGAGTCAGTGTGAACTATGTGAGTAATGAGAGTCACCCAGTTTCTGGGTTTATACGATCAGCTAAAAAGGGGCAAAGTGATCTGAAAGCTACCTTGATTGATTTACAGTAGTAATTTTGTTGTGGTTTGCATCTTGCTTGCATTTTTATTTCCATAATGCACTCTGAGAACAAGCTCAAGCGTATCAGTTCGGTCAAATCCCGATGTTCATAGGAAGCGCTCACTGGATGGTAGGCCCTGGAATTAACTTAGATCAAGGGCAGTTGCATAACCCAACAAAACAGCTCAAGAAATTATTAAAACTAGGACGGCAGTTTATACGCCACAGATTCTGTTTGGCCAGAGAGAAACAATTTAAAATGGTTAAATACACCGACCCATCTGACAGCTGACTCAACAGTTCAGAGGCTGGATTTTGCACAATAACTATATGCACGATGCAAGATGGTTTTCATCCTGGATATGCTTTGAGGCTCTAGAATTACCTACAGAGTGCTTCTTATGGTGTTTTTTTTCGGAAAGGACAACATATTTCTGGGTAGCTGGACAGATGCGTTGCATAAGTTACAGTAATTAAATTTTTTCACACTGTCCAAGAGCAAAGTTCATCCAAATAGTTGGCAAAAGAAACTGTTTAAAGGCAGTCATGGTGCCTGAAACTACGTTTGTACATTTAGAGTGGATGGAATCATATAGGAAAAGCAGAACTAGGATCCACATGAGGCTTCTTCTGTCATTTAAATACACTGTGATGGATAAAAGTACACCTGGCAGGTCTCTTGTGCACAGGGTTTAAAATAAAATAAAAATCCCTTTTAAAGCATGAGAATAATGACAATCGAAGTGTAGGTAACCACCGATGAGATTACCACTGGGATCGTATTTTCCCTGTGCTGTGAAGGGTTGGTGGTGAGGAAGAGGGTTGGGTTGGGTTGGGTAAGGAAGGGGTCTTTGACATCAAAATATAAAAAATTACATCCAAATATTATGGCCACTTCCACAGCTGATAAATCACATAGCAGAAAAATCCACTGCTCCTCCTCCTTTTGACAACACACCAATGCACACATAGAAGACTAGGATGACAATAGCTACTGCTCTCGAGTTGCATTATGGGGTGGTTTGCACATACAATTTCACAACTAGCAGCGTAAGGAGATGCTGACTTAGCCAACTCTGATAAATGGTGAAAAAATATAAACAACACTATGTACATTTTATTGTCGACAGTAGACGCAACCAAATTCCTCTACTCGTGAGCCGTTTACATAAACCCACCTACAAGATATTTTACTAGTGACCTAACTCTTGTCCTTATATTAACAACAGCAGTTATACCACAACCAATGCATAAATGCATAACATGTATACATATGCATACATGGTTTATTCACATTACTTTCCATGTATGTCTTGCCACAACTGACCTGGTAACATCAGTAATAAATGCTGTGAATATTTTGCAGATAGTTATCCACCATAAAGTGCCTTCAATTGGAACATTCTTTTGTTTTCTGCAAGTTTCATTTAGTCCAAGAAATGTTTTTAAGGTCCTCAGTGAAGCTTTTTTGGATTCCGTACTGTATAGAAACAAGGATTCTTTGTTGGGGTCAGATCTCACCCAATGCTCAGCAGGTTATGGATTTGTGCTGCCCGTTTTGTGTTATGGGGTTTATCTTTTCTAGCGAGACATCCGCATCGCTATCCAAATTGCCTGACATGGAAGGCGACAGTTTCTCAAAGGTCTTTATACCAGAGTCATCCTCTCTCTTCTGGTTCTCCTCCTCCTGGCAGAGGATACTGTGAGGGATCACATAGTTGCTGTTGTTGCCCTCCTTGGGGATGTGGCCCTTTGGCTGATACTGGGAAGTAGATGGAGGGCCACCGTTGTTGTTGATACTCACAATCTCTATAGTGTTGCTGCCGGGACAGAGTCGATGGCAGCCCAGCAGGATGGAGAATGCCTTTCGGAAGTCAGCATTGAAGGCATAGATGATGGGGTTGAGTGAGGAGTTGGCCCAACCGAACCAGACAAAGACATCGAAGGTGGTGGAACTGATGCAGAAGAAGTCAGAGGTCTCGTTCGGGTTACAGAAAGGAACCATGCAGTTCAAGACAAAGAAGGGCAGCCAGCAGCATACAAAAACGCCCATGATGACCGAGAGGGTCTTGAGGACTTTGGTTTCACGCTTGAAGGACATCTTGAAGGAACTTTCAGACTCCATACTGGCATTGTTTCCCATGCTACTGTGGCGGTTCTTGGCGCTTTCAGCTGCTCTTTCGAGTGCCGAGATCCGGCGTATCTGCTTCTGGGCAATGCGGTAGATGCGGGTGTAAGTGACCAACATAATGGCCACGGGAATGTAAAAACTGATCAGGGAAGAAGAGATGGCATATGTCCGATTAAGGCTGGAGTCGCAGTTGTCAGGGGGAAGCTCGCCGTAGGTGCCGTTCAGCTCCGTGTAACTGGTCGCCTGGGCTTTGTGCCAGTTTAGCTGCACGGGGATGAAGGAGATAAGGATGGACAGCGTCCACGCCACACTTATCATGATGAACGCCACCTTGGGCGTCATCTTGCGCTCGTAGCGGAACGGGCTAGAAATGGCCCAGTAGCGGTCCACGCTGATGACGCACAGATTCAAGATGGAGGCAGTGGAACACATGATGTCAAAGGCCACCCAGACATCGCAGAAGGCGCCAAATGGCCAAAACCCTACAATCTCGGTGGCCGCTTTCCATGGCATCACCAAAATGGCCACCAGCAAGTCAGAAATAGCCAGCGATATAACAAAGAAGTTGGTGACTTTTGAGCGCAGGTGGCGGAACTTTGTAACCGCAACGCAGACCAAAGTGTTGCCCAGTAGCGTGGTCAGGATGAGGAGCGAGAGGAAACAACCAGTCAGAACACGCTTCGACGAATCGCGCTGCGACACACTGCTGTCCAGGACCGTGGAGTAGTTCACATCCATGGCTTTTTCATCGAGTCGAATGAGCAGTCACCCCATAATTCCACACCAAACCGAGAGTGCTTACACAGGAATCAGAGCAACTAGTTGATCTGGTTTGTCTGACGCTATGCTGACTGTAGCAGTCATCTTGCAAAACACATATCATAATTTCAATGTAAAAATCTTTTGAGGAGCTCGAAAATAGATCCATGAACTCCCACAGATCTTCCCAATGAACATAATATGACTAAAAGAAGAAAAAAAGACATACATTTAGCCTAATAATCACTTGATCTCGCTTAGAAACAGATTAGTGTCTAATTAAGACTGTTTCTGCTTTCAGTACCTTGTCAGCAGTTTGTTCATCGTCCCACAGCATACTCTCCCAAACAGGTTAAGCAAGCATATGCATGCGTGATGATTAGCCTTATATATGATCCTATCGATAGGCTATTGATCGGATTGCCGCTATGGTGGTCTGATTTGTCCCCGTTAATGACAGCAAAAGTGCGTCCGTGTCATGTTGTTCCCAATGCAGACTCCGTTCCAGAGAGAGCATTTCACATCGTTTCTGTCCAACAAGATTTCTCCGCTCCTTGCCAAAAGGCTTCACTTAACCGACAACAAACAAAGTATTGCATTCCTCTTTTTGCGTTGCGTTCCTGTATTGTGTCGCGTTCAGCGCATCTCGATTCTACTGATCATAAGCTGCAAACGCACTAGACTCAACAGTAAAGTCATAGTCGCAATCTGGCGCACTTCTCACGTTTCAGGCGTCCGATTTGTCCCCGATCCATTTGCGCGTGAGGAAAAACCATCTTCCTTTCTTTAGTTTTCCTTAAAAGTGATTTTAAAGCGTTTGCATGGGTCCTGTAAGGAAAGGCTGTTGTCGTCCCATGCACATCATGTGGAATTACAGCTCATAGCCTCTCGTACTGTCGCGCAGCACCACATGTGCATTACCAACATTCGAGCAATGTCAACTTTACAATAAAATAAATAAATAAAAAAAAGATTAGTCTTGAAAGCATCTTTGATTTCAATTTCTGCACCGTTAAAATTGCATGTATTGTCTGATGCAAATAGTCTAGAGCATCATTGGGTTTGTTTTTGTCAGTGCAATAGTTTCCTTGAGTTTTTCTTAAGGCTTGCAGTCTTCTGTGCTGGGCTTGCTCTGAGAAGCTCTGACAGTCTGGAGTTATGGCAAGCCAATATAACATGTATTCCTTCAAACTAATTTTATGTTACTAATACTTCTTTTTAAACACTAGTAAGAAATCAAATAGTTTCTAGGATATTTTTCCAATTTCATTTCACTAGCAACTATTCATTCGATACCAGCACTTATTCCATAGTGATTAGTATCTGATAATTTAGTCAAGTTCTTTTTCATTAAGTAATCATTTGTATTCTTTTGCAACTGGTCACATTTTTTTTTTTTTATTAACTAATTTTATTTATATTTATTTATTTTATTTTATTTTTTGTCATTGAATTCTTTGGTGATCTGTGGTTCAGATATCAGATATTCACTTCATATTCCAGTTGTTACTCATACTTATTCCTAACTAGCATAATGATCGTTTTTAGGGACTTTTAACTATTTAAGTAGTTCTATTCATAAAGTAAACATTCTGACTTGTTATAATACATGACAAGTAAAAAAAAAAAACAATTGTGAGGGCAATTGTGATAGATATTAGTGTCTCATAATTAGGTACTATTATCTAGCAGTAGCAAAATAATTAAATGCTAGTATTTAATGAGTACTTGCTATTGAAAAAAAAGATGCTAGTCAATAAAACTAACAAGTAATTAAAACAATAGGCCAGTAACACAATAGTAGTTATTCTGAAGAAGTAAACATTATCGTGGCTTGCCATACGCAAGTACCTTTGGAGGAGGTGACCACATCAAAACCCCTCACAAATCGGTTATTAAAATATTCATCATGGACATTGCATTTCTCCTAGTTGCAAAATAATTACACATGCACCTTTTCTTTTTTTAATGGATATTCATAAATACAGCTTAATGACCAATACATCATATGCAGAACAGGTTATTTTAAGAAGCATGGCTTAGCAGGCTTTTGCATATGAAATGGCTCAATGAGGCCATCTGCTGGAACAGATTATTTAGGGATGTGAATGAGCGTCAGTATGAGAGCATAGAAACCTGGTTCCCTGCAATCACCCTGTCACTGTATTTCAATGTGAAAATCTTTAAAACTGTATATTCATAATTTTCACAATTAACAATTTTAATAAAAAAAATAATTAAAATTAACTTAATGTAATTTAAAAAACATGAAGAGCACAGTAGAGTCATATTATCAGATGGTAATACCACAGTACTTTTGCATATGCCGTGGTCTTGAATGATCAGCATATTTAACCAATAGTAATTATATAGTATCATACATGGTACATGGCCAAAAAAAAAAAAAAACATAATACTTCAGGTAGCCTACATTTTGTCAATCAAAAGTAAACATTCTATGCACACAATTATACATATTTAAATTGCTTGTGGTTTTAATATAGAGTAGCTTCAATATTCAATTCTAAGGCAAGTCAGATGTTGTGCTTCATCCAGCAGAACATTAGGTTAATGACAGTACCTTGGACAGCGCCCACAAATACATTGCCTGGGTTAATAACTCAAATCCTAGAGCTTACCACAAGCCTTCTCACTGGACTTGCCCGACTCTTAGTACATGGGGGTCAAGCTTTCCATCGGTTTCAAAGAAGGATTTGATAGCCATTCAATTAGAAGGATTTTCAAGTTCATTTAGCCCAAGCACAAAAGTCAGCAAGAATCAAGTGACAGTTTCAGGCCATAGTACAAATTAGCCTTTTATGTCTTTGTCAGTGTTATCGGAGAGTTGTAATATACCTTCCAAAGGTAAAGTTCTTTGATTAGTTTTGCCTTGGCAAGGACAGCGAGGTTGAAACTTTAACTTTATCGTAAGTGTTTTCGAGTATTAGTCCGTAATCTCCTGAAAAACTTTGGCTGCAGCTGCTAAGACTAACATAAGCTACATCTGAGAGCAAATGATATGAAATTCAGCTGATAAGACACTATAAGCTTGGAAAAAAGATCTGCCTTTCTGCTTGATATCTTCACATGCTGTTTACAGCTGAGTGTTTTCCAAGAAACTCAGTGAACTAACAAAGAGGTCCAGGGAGAGGACAGACAAACACAAAGCTATTGATGCGTTCAGTCGATTCCTCGAGTATTTCAGAGGCACAATTATTTTTGATGAGCAATCTTCACACTAGAATGAGATGGCTATACAGATGGGATTTTTTCCTAGACTTTACCGTGTAAAACAGAGAGTGATATAGTTTAATTGATTGTACCCATGCACTGACAATCCCCCCCCCCCCCCCCCAAAAAAAAAAATATCTTCTTATTCGTTAT